CCCAGGATGGAAGTGAGGCTGACTGGTTCATTTTAGAATCTGCAATGAAATTCACTTTTTTCCTTCTATTATCTGATAATTAAGTCACATTAAAAATACTCTTCTGAATAATTAAAGTGTTGTCTAAAGGAAATAGTGGCTTTGGAAATCTCAGCTAAAAATGCTTTTCAAAAGGACTACCTAATAAAATCCCCAATTGAAATAATCTATATCGTATAAGTTTAGTGCCTGTTGCATTTTAACTCATTCCATTTAACTTTAACCTATTAGAAATTAGCCATAAAGTTAGACAACTACCTGTGTTGTTACTAAGAAGACAGTAAGAGCAATATAACCTACTTGTCTTCAACATCAGTTTTACATGAGTAAGCAAGTCTTACTTTGTGGAAGTGCATGCAGTACAATGGGATCCTAAATAAAAAATGCATCCAGTAAAATATTAGGAGTCTATATTAGCAGAGATAAATAGCCCTCTGAGATTCTTGGCATTTATATTTGGATAGAGTATCAATTTAATTTCTAGGAAAATGTGCATGCAGGAAACCCCTCTAAATTTCATCCTTATGTTGATTAGTAGGGTTTTGGCATTACTTGGAGATGGAGAAATGTTTTTAAAACAGTATCCTAACTTATAGTACATACTATACACTATGGCATTGTGCATGTGAATAGGGAAGATGGGTCTCTGGCATTCAGTGCAGTTTAACAGGTTTACCTAGGAAAGCCATGTAAATATATCTAATGAGAATAAAATTAATGTATTAAGGTGATAGGAGACAGTACTTCCTGCTGGTAACCAGAGGTGCTGGCTCTAGGCATAGCATGCTCACACATTCAGGCTTCAGTGGATTTTATGAGAAAGCCTTTTTGCTAAAGCTTACAAAGCTTTTCAGTACCCAAATACATGTCCATATTGATCTATTTTGTGAAAACTATTTCAGTTGGAACCTGAGACTTAGGGTGAAGCACAGAACATGTTTTGGCTCTGTGTGGAATAAAACTGAGTAAAGTTGGTGATTTTTATTTATATTTTTCCCCAGAAGGAGTTTTCAGTCTCCTCAGCAAGGCTGAGCTGCTGGGGTTTGGCAGAATTCAGAGCTACAGGTTCCAGTCACAGAACAACTGACTTAACAACACTGATTTACTGCATGACTCTGAGGACCAAAAGCCAGATTTTCCCTTTACATTATTGAGCTTCAGTTCAGCTCCTCTTTATTTTCCATAGTGGTAAAATCTTCACTGAAGTGTGTGCTTACTTCTGTTGACCATTCCTAGACCTTTCTCTCGCAAAGCAGCACTGAAAACGATGCTTAAGAAGCAGTGACTTCCAAACGTCCTTTCAAATGCAGTTTAAATTGATATATTCTTCTAAGCTACTAATTCAAAATCAGTTTCTTTCCCTGTACCCATTTTCAGATGATAGATAGTTTTTTTTTTTCAGAGCCTGGGACTTAACTTATTTAATTTATTTTATTTATATTGTAGTTGAATTATCTCAATTTTTGTAGCATGTAAGAGTGAGTATAACTAATAATTAAGTGTTCTTTCATTGCATCACCTGAGATAAAAAAAGGTTTAAATGAAAACATGCTTTAAAAATAGTTTCAAATCCAAATTTAAGAGAGAGGCTTTGCAAAGCTGTGGCCTGTACCCTTATCACTTTGCTTATCTCTGTGGCACAAAGATAGTTTTCTTAGGATAAAATGAAGGAAAAGTTTAAGTGAAGTCAACAGTGTGAGAGCGATCTATTTAACAGGAAGTGCTTGGTGTAATTTGGAGTTCGACAGTGTATCTAATAGAAATAGCCCAATTTTTGTGGATGTAGCATCTTGACATCTCAGATTTTCATTTTAGCCATTTAATGAAACTCCCTGTCATATGTTTTCAGCTGGGTGTTTTAACTCTTTTGATAGGTAATACTGATATGGTCATTAGAGTTTTGCTGGATGCAGGATTTACAAATGATCTTGCCCAGAATTACTGGAGTAAACTGTCTCTGTAAGTATTCTTAATATTGAGTAATTTTTTAATGCATGTCAAGAATAATATGGAATAATATACATGCGTGTGTATCTACAGATATAGAGTTAATGTTTACACAGGATAGGTAACGGAATTCATGTTTATGGACTTAAATGGCAACCCCTGACATAAGAACTTGTGAAAATTTCAGCCAGTTTTCATTTTAAATCTTATTTTTGTTTACAGTGATGGAGTTGTTGCACAATTTGTTGTTACAGATGGTGGAATTACTAGAGTGTTCCCAAAAAGGTAACGATTATTTTAAAATAGTACAGATATACTGGTAGATGGCAAATTTATCCATTTTCTTACATTATTCTGTTTCCCCAAGATGGGAAAATGGCAATGAATTTTACTCCCCAAATCAATTTCTCTTCTGTTTTGGTGTTTACTAATGATATAAAATATTTTGAAATAATTTCTCAAGCAATAGCAAGTGCTGTAAAGGTTTGCTTATATTTTATTGTAAGTAGTATTGAGTTCTATTTGTCTCAATATATCCAAAAATAATGAGGCAAGATCTGTGTTGTTCTAAGAATAGCATTTTCTTTCAAAAGTTCTTTTAATGATCACACTTGGTAGTTAACCAGTGAAAGGTGGCAGTCTGAGATTCTAACTATCTTTTTTTGATCACTATTTTTTTTGTGATTAGGGCAGGAGAAGATTGGTTGGAAAATGCTGAAACTTATGAAGTCAGCTTCTATAAACGGAGTTTAGATAATGACAACTATATCTTCACAGCTCCATACTACAACAGTAAGTCATTGCTGGTTTGAGATGACAGAGCCAGCTAGCCCAGTGTAAGGGTGCTTGTGGAAGTTTCCCATACCAGTTGAGGTTGCTAACAAAGGATGTGAGTAGGACACTTCAGAAGGAAAAAAACCATGGAATGTCACCCATTATTAAGGAAAAGGTAGCTAGGATGACATTAAACAAGGGACATGAGAATTTGTCATCAACTCTGGTGACCCTCTATGCTCTGAATTAAAAAAAGCTGAAAAGATTTTGAATGCTGATGTTCATATTACTGAAATAGTTTTGCAGGTGCTTTGGCAAAATTATTTTAAAAGGAAGTGAAAGAAAATTGCATCTGGGAACAATAGCACTACCTAAAAAGGCCTTATTTAAGCTGAGTTCTGTATACATCTGCACCAAACCTAATCTGGGTGAGCAGGTATAAGGGTCGAAGAGTCCACAACTCTGTCCACTGCACTGCTGCTTAATTTAAACTTTGCGTTTGAATTCTATTTCAGATTACAGCTACTCACCAAAGCTGGTTTGTCTGAATACTGTGATATTTAAAACTTGTATATGCATAATAGTAAGTGCTGGTTAATGATCCGAGCAGCATTAACATTGCTAAGCTTGTCTAAAAGCAGATGCTACCACAAATTACATGCTCCTCTCTTAAACTTATGGGGTCTTTTATTGCTTTTTTTTCATACTTATTTCATGCATCTTTTTTCAATAAAATATTAACAAAGTAATTAACTAAATTCCCTGAAGCCTCTGTTGTTCCTCAAAGAGCTCCAGGGAATGTACTTTTAACTTGTTTTTTCATACTAAGCAGTGTTGAAAAGGGGCTGAAGTCCATCAGAGAAGTAATTGTTGCTTAGTGAGTGGTGTCAGTATACCCTGCATTGAAAAATACACAGACGACAGCAGGATAAAATCTTTGGCTCTGATCCTGGTTTTAACAGAGTTGCTCACATGTATAAAGCTACTCATGGCTCTGTTTGCAGAAAAAAAAAAAAAAAAGCTAGAGTAAGTTTATGAAGCAGTGAAACAATGTACAAAAAGTGAATTAAGAAAAGTAAACAAAAGTGTTCCTTTTAGCAATCCAGATGTTAGTTATCTGAGCTACGGCAGGTGATAAATGTGTAGTATAACTAGGACAGTGGTTTTGAATCAGGATTTTAAAAATTTTTTCAGGGAATCTGAATAATCATTAATTTCATTTTCGTTGGAAGAGGCTTTTACATCACCTTGATCTCTTTCTTTTTCCCTTTTATACTCTCAGAAAGTGGTGCCAATAGCTATGAAACGGGTATTATGGTAAGCAAGGCTGTGGAAATAACAATTAATGGGAAGCTTCTGAAACCAGCAGGTAAGATGGATTGGTGCTGAAACTCTAGCTATTTCATTGTTACTCAACAGTGAATTCGAAATTTAATTGAGATTTCAAAGGAACTTCACTTTATATAACATTCTTTTCTCTGAGACTGTTTTAATCTTGCTAGTGGAAATCAAGCCAAAGATCTGGTTGTGTTTGAGTAAGAGTGCTTAATTTATTAGTCTCATGAAGGATGTTGGTGGTCAGACAACTGAGCAAAACTCATATTTTATCTTTTTCTATTTTAATAATTTAGATGTTACTACAATTTTTCCCTTTTTTATTTTTTTTTTAGGATTCTACAGTTACCTTTTTTTTTTCTTTTACTAAAAATGACTTTTATGTATTTCTTGTTAGTTGTTGGAATAAAAATTGACGCAACCAGATGGATGGAAAATTTCACAAAAACCACAATCAAGAGCCTGGTAAGCAATTGACCAAGTCTTTTTTGAACTTTATTTGCATTTCTCAAAGCTTCAGATGCAAATAGGTCTAATAGCTCTTTGTGCCAGAGTCACAGTGATGTGTAGTTGCCAAGTAGTTGTGGTATTTAAATCATCCACATGCACAAAATAAATCTATGTTGAAATAGACTGCATTTTGTACGTGTCTTGCTTTTGTAATTATAGGACATGGATATGAAAAGAAAAATTAAATATTCCAACCAGTAGTATCCCTACTAAGATTATGCTGTAGCACTGAGTAAAATCTGGAAAAGAATTGGTGAATCTATTTTTATTTATTATGGAGGATGAGTAAGCAGTGAACAGTAAGGATTTATATTGCAACCAGCATCACAGCGTTTTAGCAGAGCTTAATGAAATGGGTGCCTAAACCTTTGATTCCTTACATCTAGTGCTTAGGTGTAGTAAATGGGAAGAAGAGGCTAAATAGAAGGAAAAACTAAGGAATTAAGAGTGCATTGCAAAAAGAGAGGGATAAAATGAAGACAGTTATGGAACAAATGGATCAGGAAATGTTTCTTGGTTGATTGCATATTTGGGGATTTGATAACAGTGTCTGGTCACTGTAGGTATTAGAGCTGTAGTTCAATAGATAGGCTCATGTATTCCCTAAATGTCAGAACAGTTAAGGACAAAAATACATAACTGAAAAAGGGAGAAAAAGAAATGTCTGAGAATTCATTTGAGATGAATGACATTATCTAGCATTTGTTTTGCTCAGGACATAATGCAGGGTGACAGGTACATGTGTATATGCACATATTGCAAGAAAAAGAGAAAGACATGTTAGCAAAGCCATAAAAACTAACCAGAGATGGTGGGATTCCCATGCTTTGAGACTGGTGAACCATTTCTTGGTCAAAAAAGGTATTTTCTAGGCTTTCTTTCCATACCCCATACATAATGAAATGAACATGTTCTTTGTCCTTTACTTTATACTCACAGCATTGACTTCCTGCCAAGTCCTCCAAAGTGCTTTCCTCTAATATAGTGAACATATTTAGAAAAGGATATGTAAAAAAGGGATTTTGTGAAAGATAGTCAAGATTGTGCCATTGATAGCTACTGAATACCAGTTGTTCACAGAGATATTTATGATAAACAACAACACACACTCAAAAATAATATAATTTTTAAAATTTAAAAATTTAAATTTATATACAAGTATTGAATATCCAATGACGTGTTCTTGTCTTGATTGATTAATATCACTACAGAATAGTTTCTTTTGAAGCATTTTTTGAAGATTATTGTATTTCTTTTTTTTTTAGTGCAACAGTGAAATCTGTGGCTGTGAGAGAAACAGTATGGTAAGAATATGTTCAGTTTATGAATATCTGGTAATTTATGAAAAGTCATTAATTCTCTCTAGGTTTACCTAAGACAATTATTCTAGTGTTATTATTTGAGGGTTAATTTTACAGAAAACAGGACTTAGCCATTTGTGTCTTCAGAAAGAGATGAAGATTAGGGGAGGGTGTGAAACAGGGTATAAAAGTCAGGTGAAGTGGTTGTTGCAAGAATCATTGCAATGAAATTATGAGAACCAGAAGGAAGAAAAAAAAATAGACTAAGAACAATACAGAGTGATGTAAAGAAAAGGTGAGAAAAACGAAACAGTAATTTTCAAAGCAAGAGGCAAGTCCTGAGAAAAGGGAATAATTCAAAAAAAGAAAAAAATATCTGAGGAAAAGAACACTAGAAGTGCCTCAGAGAAGGGCAGATGCAAACTGAAAGGCAGCAGTATGTGTTGTGCCCTTCAGCAGTCATTAGCCATCTTCCCCGCTGCTCCCAGCCCATGCAGGACGCAGGGACCCGGTAGCTCTGCTAGCATTCAGGAGAGCACAGCTTCAGGGGCTATAGCACACTGTCAGATTCTGCCATGGGCTTACAAGAGTTACAGCAAAAAGGGTACTCTGGGAGGTTATTTAGTTGGCCTCACTGCTATCTCTCCAATCTCTGACTGCAAAGGTCTTTTACAAAGTGCAAAGCATAGGGGGCTTCCCATTTCTGCACCTGAAATGTGGAAGAAACTCACTACTGTCCCTGGCAAGTGAAAATAATCATGACTGGCAAACTGAGAGACTGGCCTTAATATTTTTACCATTAAAAGCTGCAAATGGAAAAGAACTTGAAGCATGGCTGAAGTACATGAGAAGTTGTAGTCTCTTACTATGACCTGAGATGCAATTATAATCAGACTTAATAAGGATATAGCACTCTCAGAGCTAACAAAGTATTGAGCAAATAAGAATTTACAAAAGAACTGTCATGAACTTAAGCCACAAATAAGCCTTTGATCTGTATGAACTTTTATAATACTGATAGTGCTGCTTATTATAGCTTAGTATTGGCCCTTGGCTATGGGGTTGTGATTTAGCCTGAGCCACATCAACTTGAAGATACTTCTGAAGTGTTGAATAAAAAATAGTTTCTTACAGAGTATTCTCTCAACAAATCCTTGCTGCAAAACATATTTTATTTTCTTGCAATAGCATGTGGACTGTGTTATCCTTGATGATGGTGGATTTCTTTTGATGTCAAATCGGGATGAATATACACAACAGGTATGTATATTTTTAAAGACAGAACATGAAAAACAATAGGAAGAGGTTTTAAGAGAAGAAAACATTTTGCATTCAGCTTACCCTAAGAATAACATTTCCAAATCGCAAAAAATTTTGCTGTATCAGAAATTACAGTTATTTTGTCAGTCTCTGTCACACTTATTTATAGATTGAGATGCCATATTTCCCCCAAATTGCATTCTTTGTTCTCTGCCCTTAGGCTGGTAGGCTGACAATGGTAAGGGCAAGTAGTATGGCATCCACTCTCCTCACATTCCTCTTGCTTTTCCCTAAGCAAGGTGGTCTTACAGATAGTGCCTTTAACAATTAATATCTAACTGGAGTTATCCAACTCTCTTTTGGGAATCAAAGAAATAATTAAAAAAGAAATGAATACATAAGCAGCACAACTGGATAAGTTGTGTAGAGGAAAAAAAAAAGGGAGGGACAGAATTCAGAACTGTCCCCTTTTTTAGGAGAAAATACTTGGAAGTAATTAACTTATCTATATATTTACTCCTTCATCAGATTGGAAGATTCTTTGGTGAAATTGATCCCGGCCTGATGCGAAACCTGATCAACATGTCCCTGTATGCCTTTAACAAGTCATATGACTATCAGTCAGTCTGTGATCCTGAAGAAGAACCAAAGCAAGGAGCTGGACTTCGTTCTGCTTATGTGGTCAGTATAGCAGTCCTTTCTGCAGTGACTTACGTTCCCTTAAAAGTCTGCAGGTGTTTATACAAATAATATAATCTCTTTTGTTTTGTTTTGTTTTCCCAGCCTACAATAACAGATATCTTGCATCTAGGATGGTGGGCTTCGGCAGCTGCCTGGTAAGTACAAATGTGTAGGAAATCCAGATGTCCAAACTAGAGTTAGTCAGTGGGTTGAAACTGTATTAGTCTGGTTTTTATCCCTCCATAAAACTGCTCTGAATCCTTTGTTTCTGCGGTTTCTTATCATTAAAATTCTTAGCTCTCTCCAGGCTCCTTGAAAAAATCAGTGTTCTTTCAAACAGTTTAATTCAAAACTACTCTTGCCAGGTTTTGTGGTTGTGTGTTATGACTGTGCAAAATCAGCTTCAGGAAGCAGAGTTGAAAAGTCATCTAGTCCAACCTCTCTGCAACGAGTAGGGATATCCTCACTACATAAGGTTGCTCAGAGCCCTGTCCAACCTCATCTGGAATACTTCCAGGAGTGGAGCGTATACCACCTATCTGGGCAACCTGTTTCAGTGTTTCACCACCCTCATTGTAAAACATTTCTTCCTTGTATCTAGTCCAAATCTGCCCTTTTTTAGTTTAAAACCATTACCTGTTGTTGTATTGCCACAGGCCCTGCTAAAAAGCCCCCTTTAAGTATTGAAAGGCCACAATAAGGTCTCCCTTCTCTTCTTCAGACTGAACAACCCCAAGTCCCTCAGCCTTTCCTTATAGGAGAGGTGTTCCATCCCTCTGATCACTTCTGTGACCCTGCTCTGGAACTGCACCACCAGGTTCATGTCTTTTCCTGTGCTGGAGACCCCAGAGCTGGACACAGGACTCTAGGTGAGAGCTCACCAGAGTGGAGTAGAGGAGCAAAATCATCTCCCTCCACTGCCGGCCATGCTTCTTTTGATGCCACTCAAGATACCGTTGGCTTGCTGAGCTGTGAGTGCACATTGCTGGCTCACATCCAGCTTTTCATCCACCAGTACACCCAAGTCTTTCTCTGCAGGACTGCTCTCAAACCCTTCCTACCCCAGCCTGTATTGATACTGAAGATTGCCCTGACCCAGCTGTGGGACCCTGCACTTGACCTTTTTGAAGCTCATGAGATTCAAACAGGCCCAGTCTCAAGCCTGTCCATGTCCCTCTGGAGGACATCCCATCCCTCAGGTCTGTCAACCACTCTGCTCAACTTGGTGTCCTCTGTAAACTTGCTGAGGGTGCAATCCCACTGTCTAGATAATTGATGAAGACATTAAACAGGACTAGTCCCAGCACAGAGCCCTGAGAGTTACCACTTGTTACCCATCTCCATCTGGACATTGAGACATCAGCTACTACTCTCTCAAAGCAACAATCTGATCAGTTCCTTTTCGACTGAACAGTCCACTCACTGTTGCTCCAATTTAGAGAGAAGGATGTTGTGGGGGACCATGTCAGAGGCCTTACAGAAGTCCTGAGAGAAGACATCCATAGCTCTTCCCTTGTCCACTGATGTAGTCACTCTCTCACTGAAGGCCTCTATGTTGGTCAGGCAGGACTTGCCCGTGGTGAAGCCATGCTGGCTGCATCAAATCACCTTCCTGTCCTCCATCTACCTTAGCATAGCTTCTAGGAGGATCCATTCCATGATCTTCCCAGGCACAGAGGTGAGGCTGACAAGTCATTGCTTCCCAGAGTCCTACTTTTTATCCTTTTTAAAAATAAGTGTTACATTTGCCTTTTTCCAGTCACCAGCGGCTTCACCTGACTGCCATGACTTTTCAAATATCATGGAGAGTGGCTTGGCAACTATGTCAGCCAATGCCCTCAGGAGTCTGGGATGCACCTTACCAGGGCCTATAGATTTACGGATGTTCAGGTTCCTCAGGTGATCATTAACCTTGTCTTCTCTTACAGTGGGAGGGACTTTGCCCCCCTGGTCCCTATCTTGCAGTCCATCCACTTGAGAGGTGTGGGAAGAGAGGTTGCCAGTGAAGCCTGAGGCAAAAATATTGTGGAGAACCTCAGCCTTCTCCTCATCTCTTGTTACAAGCTTGGCAGTCTTGCTCATCATGGAGATACACTTTCTTTGAGTTTTCTGGCTAACATACCTGTTGAAAGAAAGAAATTCCTTTGAGGTATTTCACTTGTGTTTTCCTGCTGGCTTCTATTACTTCAGGAGTGCTTGGCTCATCTCTGTAAGACTTCAAGTGTACTGCAGTGTAGCCAGCACATTTCAGAGCAGCAGGCTGAGAGCCCTCACTAGCACTCTGTTCCTCTAACCTTGGTGTCTCATCTCACAGCTTGTCACAAGCAAGCCTGATTTTACCACCCTCTCAATTCAAGTCTAGTTAAAAGCTCTGTCAATGAGCTTCACTCAGTTGTGACCAAGGAAGCTTCTCTATTACAAAAGGTAAATAAATCTTGCTTCAGACAGTAGGATAGCCAACATGTTATCTGATGGCACAGTTGAGCTAAATTTTCTCATGCTAATTATTAGTTGATTCTTTGAAATAGAATGTGAAAAGCATTACTGAACTGTTTCAAGGAAGTGAATGTATATAAAGCATTTTGGATAATTCTGTAGTCATTGTCTTAGCAGTTTCTATAGCTGAGGGGGAAAACTGGTATATTTGAACTGTTGTGGAGTTTTAGGATTGACCTTGAGAGAGATAGGATTGCACTTGTTATTAGATTTATCTTTCACAGTCAGAATACTGAATACGCTTTAACACCAAATATCCATTTAGGTTTCTTTTCTTTTGCCTCCAGCTTGTGTGTTATTAGTAATAGCCACAGAAATAATTTTACCTATTTCAGGGCCATGTAGATAAACACCCTATCAGCTACTTCCTCCAGCCCTGCGTTGGGATAAGTAATTGGGACTGATGTGATACTTTTGCATTGGTGAGAATTGCACCCTTGGAGACTGTTCCTTTTTCTAAAGTTTCATGATGCTTATTTCTTTATTATAACTATCAAGCTGGAATAAATTACATGCTTCATGAAGCTAAGAGTTAAAATACATAGCAGCTGAACAAACATGCAGTAATTTTCTCACGGATAGCACTATGAAAATTGCATGTTGTTTTTTATTGTTGGTTGCAGTTCATTAACAGCAACAGTAAAAAATCTCAGTTTTCTTGGACAAGAGCAAACCTCAAAAACTGGAGATGGGCAATAATCCAGAAGAGAAACTTGAGCTCTTTTCTCAAACAGAGGAACTTTAGTTTATCAGTGTTTAAATCAGATTCAGTGATCTGGACTCAATTTAGACCTGAGGTTTATTTTTGTGTGATGTTTAGCTTGAAAACACCACATGAAAGTACTTTCTATGGACATGTTTTTAATGGAATCTAGGTCAGAAGCAGACAGAGAAGGCCATTAAGCAAGCAGAGTGAAAATGGGTGACCAAAAATGGATTCAGTGAGGCACCTGGCAAAAGCACAGGAAATAAGGGAAACCAGGTTATTAAAGAAAACTATAGTATTTCAGGCAACAATGTGGGATAGAAGTGTGAGCAATCATTTTCAAAATTTATCCAAGATACAACAGCATTTAGTTCGGAGAGTACAAACCATTTCTTCATACTCTTTCAACTCAGAAGACTTTACAGTTTTCCCAGACTGCCTTTTTCATTCAGTTCCCTGTAAATTCTGTGGTAAGCCCTCACAAAGGACTAGTATCTTCTGCCAGCAAATTCCATCACTTTTGAATGGCATGAGGCCTCTTCTCATCCTTGGTGGTTGGTGCACTGTCAAATGGACAGTTCAAGGCACAAAGCTGTGGATGTGAATCCAGAGCTCTTTCATGGAATCTCCCTCCACTGGAGAGGTGACAAAGATTCAGTTTCTTTTCTCATGATCACTCTGGATAAGGTTGGGGGTTAGATTAAGTTACACAGTCCCTTCTCTCTGCAGAACAAGAGTTAGAACAGAATGAGATGGGGAGAGATCATGTCATATTTGTAGGTAGAAGCAAACCTAAAACATGACAACAGGAAACTACAACTTAGGAAAGTTTAAGCAGAAGCAAGGAGTCAAGGAATATAATTGTTGCAATTCCTGTTCTGACAAGTTGTTAGAGGAGAAGTGGACCATGAATGTGGCAAGCTGGTACTTGCTTCCAGTAAAAAATATGAAAAATACGATCATGAATGAAGAAAAATAATTTGAAATTAATGAAACTCTTTAAGCCTAAGTGTTTCAGTAGCATTTACACAGAAAATATATTCTATACCTTAAGAGCAGGAATAGAGGTGATTTTAAGTCATCTGCTATAGTATTGTTTTTTTATAGTATACTTGTAATATTTCAGTGTTCATCTCCTCAGCAATTTAAGGAACCTTTAGCAATGTGAAGTATCTACCACAGGAACACTTTCCCTGAATGTCTTCAAAATGAATTCTGCTTGGTTTAAGTGTCAGAGTAATGCCAACATGCCTCTTCCACCTCCTGCAGATGTATAAAAGGAGGGAATGGGTGGCATGATAACATTTCCACTATGTAAGTTATGGGTGCAAATGGTAGCAGATGTTGAGACTAGAATAAAAGATTCATGTGAAAGAAGACCCTGAAGAAAGTTTGTAAAGAAAATCAGAGTTGAACTGTAAAGTTTAAATATAGTGTTTTGACTGGCAAAAGCATAATACGCCACATTTAATAACTCATTAGAGCCATTTTTTAGGATCCATTAAAATACAAAAAGACAAAGAGCCTTTAACAAATGTGTTGTCTTTCTGTGTTCAGGTCTATCTTACAGCAGCTGTTTTTGAGCTTGACTTTTCCACGTTTCCTTGAAGCAGGTAAGTCAAGAGAATGTTAGAGAGTCAACTTTGGGTGAAGTAGAAGGTAAGAATCTAGGCTGGGGGCCACATTTGGATCTCCCCATTGCATCTGTGACTTAAAAATGTCATAGTTTATTTATTTATTTTCTTCTTTCTGTCAGCTGATATGGAAGATGATGATTTTGGTGCCGCCCTGCCTAAAACAAGCTGTATCACTGAGCAAACTCAGTATTTCTTTGAAAATGATGATAAATCCTTTGGTGGGATTGTAGACTGTATAAATTGCTCCAGGTAAAGTTTCTTTGATATAAATAACTTTTGGATATTTTATTTTACAAAACATAACGATACTAATATAAGAACAAAAACCATATTTTGGATGAATTAGACCAAATTTACATAAGCAAGACACAGAAGTGTATAAGCAGTAAACTAATAAATTGCGTTCTTTGTATATGTTTAGGATTAATTGTAATAAGAATTATAGAAATATTTCCATCAAATTTTTGTTGTTTTGTACTCTGTATATAGAATCATTCTGGTTGGAAAAGACCTTCAAGATCAAGTCCAACTGTTAACCCAGTGCTGCCAGGTCACTACTGAACAATGTACCTGAGCACCACATCTACACACCTCTTAAATACCCCAAGGACAGTGACTCCACCACTTCCCTGGGCAGCCTGTTTCAGGGCTTTACAACCGTTTTGGTGAAGAAATTTTTCCTAATATCCAATCTAAACTTCCACTGGCCCAACTCAAGGCCATTTCCTCTAGTCTGATTGCTACATGGGAGAACAAACCAATTGCCATCTCACTACAATCCCTCTTTTCCAGGCTAAGCAGCACCAGTTCTCTCAGCTGCTTCTCACAGGGCTTGTGCTCTAGAACCTTCACCAGCTTCATTGCCCTTCCTTGGGCATGCTCCAGCACCTCAATGTCTTTCTTGTAGTGAAGACCCAAAACTGAACCCAGTGTTCGAGGTGCAGCCTCACCAGTGCCGAGAACAGGGGGGACAATCACTTTCCTAGTCCTCCTGGCCACACTATTTCTGATAAAAGCCAGGATGCTTTTGGCTACCTCAGCACATTACTGGCTCATATTCAGCTGCCTGTTGACCAGAACACACAGGTGCTTTTCCATCAGGCAGTTTTCCAGCCACTCTTCCCTAGGCCTGTAGTGTTGCATGGGGTTGTTGTGACATAAGTGCAGGATGCAACATTTGGCCTTGTTGAACCTCATACCATTGGCCTCAGCCCATTGATCCAGCCTGTCCAGAACCCTCTGTACAACCTCCTGACCTTCAAGCAGATCAACACACCCCTAACAACACCTAACTTTGTGTTGTCTCTAAACTTACTGAGGGTGCCCTTGATCCCCTCATCCAGAGCACTGATGAAGATATCAAACAATATTGAGTCCTGTGGAACACCACCTGGGGCCAGCTGCCAACTGAATTTAACTCCATTCACCACCACTCTGGGCTGCCCATCCAGACAGTTTTTTACCCAGTGAAGAGTACTCCCATGCAAGCCATGAGCAGCCAGTTTCTCCAGGTGAATGCCATGGGAAGTTATGTCAAAGGCTTTACTAAAGCCCAGATAGACAACATCCAGAGTCTTTCCTTCATCCACTAAGCAGGTCACTTTGTCATAGAAGGAGATCAGGTTAGTCAAGCATGACCAGCCTTTCATAAACCCATGCTGACTGGATCTATCTTCTGCTGACTACTTGCCCAATAAAGAATGATAGTATCATTAACAGATAGACCAGCAGCCAAACTCCTCCCTCCACTCCCACATCACACACCAGAGATCCAAAGTGCCAGACAACCAGAGGGAGTAACAAGTCAATGCCCTCACCCACCACAGTGGGCATGAAGAAGGGAGCGAGCCAGACAAGGAGCCAAGGCATACTCCCATGGGAGCAGCCAGGCCATGAGCCCAGTCATATAGGAGGGACTCAGAAACAGCTTCATGTTCTGGCCCTGGCATCCTGGGAGTTCCACTTGCTTCAAACAGTCAGGAAGCCCTTCCCAATAGCCAGAATCCCAACACAGCTCACACACTGTGTAGACAAACCTCCCAACCCCAGTGCAAGCAGAGTCAGCTCTTATAGAGGTGGCTTCTTCCCTCACCTCCAAGTTAATGTGGAAGGCAGGGGCACCTGGTGGTGATCTGCTAATCAGTTCCCACCCAAAGCTGGCCAGACCCTGGGTGAAAACCAATAAGGAGGGTCTTTCTTGCCTGGTTGTGGTCATCATCCATATGCCAACTCTCATTCAGGGCTGGGGGTTTAAACCCCAACACTTCAGCCTAATCACCTGGTTGTCCTGTATGTGCCTCATGATGGCACTCGAGACAGTTGGTTCCATAGCTTTCCCTAGCACCAAAGGCTGACTGCCAAGCTTGTAATTCCCCAGATCTTCCTTCCAGCCCTTCTTGTAGATGGGTGTCACATTTGCTAATGTCCAATGAACTAGGACCTCCTCAGTTAGCCAGGACTGCTGATAAATTATGGAAGGTGTCTTGGTGAGCACTTCCACCAGCTCCCTCAGTACCCTTGGGTGGATCCCATCTGGCCCCATAGACTTGCGTGTGTCTAAGTGGTGTAGGTCACATATGCTCCATGGATATTCTATCTCAGTTACAATTTGTTTACTTTTAATTTATGACATGAATTTAAAGGCACTCAAAAGGAGATGATTTTCTTTAATCTGATTATGCATTGGAATTTTTGATGGTCAAAGAGGTTATGCAATTTATCTTCCAGTTTACCTTCTAGTCAATAGTACTCATGATTTAAGAGCTGTGGGTCTTACTGAGCAAACCATTCTGTTTTATTTTGTTATTAAAAGTGTTAGTCCTCAGGCTCTATGTGCCTATTCAAGATGATGTTTAATGTTGTGTTAAAAAAAATCAGATGCTTCAGAAACATAGCAACTTGGACCTAGTTCTGCGTTTCATGCAAAAGCCTGCTGGGTTAAAAGTCTACATACATTAGGAGTTTATGAAGATTAGAAATTAAAATCAATTTTCAGATTTCAAACTTTTGGAAGACACTATTTCATGCCAGGAAAGAAAGACAGGACATTGGATAATGGTGAATACAGTGAAAACAAGCAGATATTTTTTCCCACTTCCTTCTCCATGTTGCTAATGCATGTTTGTGTGGTATGTGGTTGTGAAGAGAACTCATTAAGCTGGGTTTTGGGGGTTTCTTTTTAGCTTTATATGGTTATCTGGTTGTGGGTTTGGGGATTTTTTTATAATCTGTAGTGTTTTCAGAAGAGTTCTTCAGTTTATTGAAAGCCAGAAATTTTGCTAGTGTAACAAAAATAGTGCCAGGATGTGAGAATGAATGTGAAAGGACAATTTAAGCTTGTTAAAACAACCAACTGTGTAATCACAGCGTCCATTATTTGATTAACAGGTATTTTGTCCTCTTCTTGTACCAAATTACTGGTATGAACTCATCATCTGTGAAATTTCAGAAGTAATCCAACCAATTCACACCTAAATAATAAAACTGTTTGTACAGAGTGATAACCACCTAGATGAAAATACTTACTTACTTTTTATGTGTATGAAAATGTGTTTAGAATCCACTGAAAGCAATTAACCTTTTAGATTGTCCTGAATTTTTCTCTCTTTGACAGGTAAAATATATTTTATTAATGACTAAGAAATAATGGGAATTTTTCCTCTGCGTTTTTGAATGTCTGTCTGCCTTTCCAGTAATTTTAAATTATACATGAAAATTACCCTTGAAAAACCCAGAAATACCTTTAGTATCTAAGACATGAAGTATAGTATCAATAGCTTGAAGGTATAACACTGCCTAATACAATTATGTATAAACTGAAGATGACCCTGCTAACTTAAAGGCCTTTTGTGGAGTTACATGTACATAAAAATGGAAGAAATACCCATCCAATACACAGCATACATACCCTAAACCTCTTTTTCACTCTTCTTACAGACAGGTCTATGTGGTGGGGCTTTGTTTGGTTCTGTGGTTGGAGATTTTCTTAATGTCGTCAGGGGAAGAATTGGTGCTGAACTGATTTTGTTTTTCAGTACGACTGTTGTAGTAGTACAGAGCTAGCTATTAACTCGATTAAAGTCACATTATGCTCTTCTCCATTTTTTCCACTAATAAGTCTAGTTGAAAGGGGGGACCATGGAAATGTCAAAAAGATTACAAAATTTGTTATAAATGTTTCTTAGTGTTCATTAATGGAAAAGATAAACAGTAGCAGGCAGACTGAATCTGTGAAGTTGATTTACTTTTATTCCAATACTGTGTGTCCTTCTCAAATAGGGATTTTCGTGCTTCATTTAAACATAGGTTTTTGTTGGCTGTTTTTTTCCAGACTTTATCATGCAGAGAAGATTTCAAACACCAATCTAGTATTCATTATTAGTGACAGCCAACTGCTGTGCCGCTCCTGTGACCCAAAGCCACTGATGCAAGCAGAGAAGCCGGGTATCCTTTAAAACCATGTTATTTACTAGCGTGGATTGATTTTTGGCTATGATATACTGGAATATACTTGGGAAAAAATGGCCTATTTATGTACATACTAGTAGCATGATTGCCGTTGGAGTAGCAGCAGGTATTTGCAAACAATATCACAAATCATCTGAGGCAGCAGACATTGTGGTAGAGAGGAAAGCTGGGTTTTGTGAGGACCTAAACAGAAATGGGCTCACAGGAACTTAATAAAGTTTCCAAATGGCCGATGCAAATTCTTGGATCCAGGACAGAATAGCGGCATGGAGCTGAACAGTCTAGGGATGGAGTGACTACAAAAAAACCTTGCAGAAAAGGACTTCAGGATCATGATAGACGAGAAGCTGAACATCAGTTGGCACTGTACCTTGCAATAAAGAGGGCCAGTCACATCCTGGGCTGTGTTAGCAAGAGTATGGTCAGCAAGTAGGGAGAATTGATCCATCCCATTTCTTCAGCACTGATGAGATCACATCTGGAGTGCTGTGTACTCTGTCTAGAGAAACAAACAAAAAAGGGCAACACCAAGATAAGAGTGTTCAGTCATGAGATGTTGGGATGCTGCAGTGATGCCTGCAACACTGAGGTGAAGTGATGAAGGCATTTTAGTGTGTGCTCTGTGCCAGTGAGAACAGTTTACTTCTTGTGGAAACCGCTTTAACAGTTAAAGGCTAGAATTTATCCAGATTCTAGCATAGAGTTTCTTCAGAGCTGGCTGGAAACATAGGTGGCATACATGCTAAGCAGAGTCCTCACAACTCGTACGTTAAAATTAAAAGCATGTGAAAGGGTATTCTAATTTACAGCCACCTTCTTGCCAAACTGTATGCCTTCAGCCTGTTTCATTCCAGAAGATACCTGTAGGTGATGGTGATGGAAATATGTAAAAGCAACATACACATATTCTAGCTCAGGAGAAATTCACCTCAGTTTTTCTCTGCTGTATATACTTGAAGACAGCATACCAGAGATGGTAAATCAAATCATAATTTGGATTATTATGACACAATATGGAAAACAATTAGTAATTGTTTAGTAATTACTAATAGTCCATGTCAGGAGGTTAGTTGAGACAGTGTCTCCCATTGCTGAAAGAAAAGCAGATGGTAGTAGATGGCAGTGTTCTTTGGCACAAGCAGTGTGTTCATTGCCACATTAATAAAACTGGAATTCCATCTACACTTGGGCTGAAAAGGAAGTTACATTTGGTTGGAAGTAGTATCCATGTCATCACAGAACTATGTAAACACAGACTCATACTCTAATTGGCTTCAGTCCATGATGCTTTGATTAACTGTTGCCACTGTCTGAATTTATAGACAGCACTCGCTGTAGAAAATGAAGCACGTTTGATGGGAAATGGGCACATGAATTGTATTTCCCTGTGAGGCCCAAAAAAGAAAATTCAGAAAATTACTGCTTCTAGAAAGCAGTAAACGGTCTCAAATAGCAGCTGGAGCAGCTGGGTAGGCTTATGTTGACTAAATGAACGATTTTATTTTTGTTCCAAGTATACTACTCTAAGCTATTCTCTCTTTTCTGTAAGTAAGGTGTATTGTGAAATGCAGATGTAGCATAACATCAAACAAGCAGACAGAACAACCTAGGGGTACTATTCAGATGGTTATTATTAGACTTTGCTTCCTTCTGGCTGGTACAGCTTTGCTTGTACACATGGTCGTTTAAAATATTTCTATGTTTCGACTTCCCTTTCAGTTGGGCCCCGGCAGAGGAAAAGGGAGGTGAGTCTGACAACATCTGAATGAAGACAGATGTAGATCTGTAGAACTGAATTCCGTGTCTTCTTGCTTCTCTTCCATTGGGCATCTGTTCTGCCAATGACCAGGCCCAACAAAAATGATACAGCCAGCAAGAAGATGAACCAATACACAGACTGTATTGTAGACAAGAAGGACGTTCCATGAACGATCGCTGGGGGTACAAACAGATCCATCAGCTGGTACATAATTGATGCCACCCCCAACAATCCCACAAAGGACATGACTCGGCTCACAACAGGTGGTACAAACAGAGACCCGAGGTTTCCCATAGTTGGCATGGGAAATAGCCAAACCAGAGAGCTAAAGATATAAGAGAAAGGTGCCCACATGGCGACTCTCATCCGCTCAGCCCGTGTACACAAAGGTCTAAACAGGCTGGGGCCCAGCTCCAGGGAGAGTCAGGAGGTCTTCCCTGAACCAGGAAGCTCTGTGGAGTGCACTCCACAGACAGACACTCCTGACTCCCTGCAAGTGGTCCCAGCTTTTATCCCCAAGCACACACCTGACCTTTGTCAACTCCACGCGGGACCCCTGGGGCTCATTTCCCTTCTGGCTCTCCCTGCAGGGCCGGCCGCACCCTGGGGGGAAGCTATAAGGCAAACTCACCACCTCTGTATGAAGGGCTGTGGGAATCACCCATATGTCAATATTAATTCGGGGCTCGGGGTTCAAGCCCCAGCCTTCCAGCATCTCCACTCATTGCAATGAAGTACCCCATAGTAGTGCAAGTAGTGCGTGAATAGGATTGCTTGAAGTCTAATCTACAGCTACTATGATAAGTAAAGTTTTAGTGCTCATTTTTTTTTGTAGCACAGTCTAGCTTAGCTTTCATGTGTGTACTACCAGCAGTGGAATAAAAATAGCTGACATACTGAATGATAGTATAAGCAGGGTCAAGAGAAAAGAGTTTTGCAGTTTACCATACCCACACCTTTCAAGTATGCTGCAATGACTTGTGTCCCTTGTTAGACTGTGGCAAATGTGAAATAAAGTATTTACACTTAAATATCAGCAATTACAGGTTTTGGAGTCATAGGCTAGAGCATTACCTCATGTTTACAGTTAGCTAATTAATAGCATGTCACTGCTCCCATTTCTATCCTGATGTTCTTTTAGTTTGGACAGGATCTTCTCTGTTATTTACTATCAAAACCTATAGTTGGATGATCTTGTCTGTGATATTTGGGGTAATATAGGTGTACACATAGTAAAACCAGTAGTTCTTATGTGCCTTCACTGCAATTTTCAGCCTCTATGTACCACTGCTTTTCTAAACAGGCTTCCTCACTTTTACTGTTCATCTTCATTTTAGCAGAATAACTCAGTGGTAAGATAAGCTATAACCAATCAGCACCATTGAAAGTTTATTACTTTATCAAATATTTTCTGCAATATTTTTGCAATGGTAACAAAAACAGTAGAGAAGATTCTTACAAAACTTCAGCTTTTATTTTGTTGTTGTTGTGTATGGTTCTGGAAGTACTATTTCTAAAAAGTCATGCAGGATGTTTATTTTCTTCATTAGAGCAGTGTAAAAAAAGAAAAGGCTAATTGATTTTGATTTATCTGGAGGGTTGGGTTGGGTTGGTTTTCTTTACAAGAAACTGTGACTACTGATGTTTATTTCAGTACTATCTAAATTTCCATAAAACTTCTCTTCTCCCATGAAAGTAAACCAGAATGTTTATCCTGCTAATGTAGAATGGACAAAAAGTCATGCTCCTTAACCAGAGAAACAGATGAAGGGCCAAATCCTTGTGAAATGGTCAAGCAACCTAGATACAGAAAGGGTCCTGATGTCTGTTTTGATGAAGCCAAACAGGTAAAATTGAACTTGTAACACTTCAGGTCTAACTTTAAAAAAAATTGTAGAGCTCTTTTAGAAGAGTATTGAAAACTTTTCAAATGTACCTCGGAGCTTGGTAACCTATCAGTCACTAAACATACTGTTCACTCCAGCCCATAGCCACTCTAATTCAAGTGTCCCATGATTAACATAAAATTAACAGCTGCTTTCTTATCTGCCTTTCCTATAACCATCGCACTTTCACACATGATTCCCACTAGAAAAACAAAAACAAAACCAAAAACAAACCAAGCAAGCATAAAACTAATGGTCTCTGTGTGGTGCTATGAAATTCAGGTCTTCTATAGCTTTCATAAATGATTTATAATCCTGGCTTAGAAGTAGTATTTTTATACTAGTGTTTCCAGATATTATTTAAAGCGGTATTAAGTGATTAAAAACATTACGTCTGGTTTAGGATGTCCTCTTAGAAATTCTGCAAATATGTATTGCTCTTAGGTCACATTCTTAACAGGTATAAAAGTGCATTGCTGTCCTGAAATCAGCAAAACTGTTTAGTTCTCCCTGGACTGTATGCATTAGAGTTTTGAAGGAGAAAAAATATAACTGTGCCACATATATAAATTATTTTGAATATACTCCCTGTCTTACCTTTCAAAATACTATATGAAAGAGAATATGGTCAGAATAAATTTCAAGACAAATAAATAGTGAACAGAGAAGTAACTGCTACTATATAAAATAAATAGTTTGAAAATGCATATGTAATGTCTCATCTCATTTCTGCAGAGGAACAATTGTGCAAAACTAATGTAGTTATTTGGCTATAACTGCTGTATACCAAATTTTGTTCCAATATGTTCTCTGATTTTCTTTAATGAGGCACAATTACCGAGATGTCAGTGGTATTAAAAAAGTCCAGACAGTTGGTATTCAATGCATTTTTCTAGTAATCAAATTTTATTTTAAAAAGGAACTCTTCTTACTGGCCAGCAAAGGTTAAACAAAGTGGAAAAAGCATCCAAAAGCTATTTGGTCATTTTAAATACTCCAAATCCTCCCGATACGATCGTGTGTGAAAGTACAACTCTTGCTTACTAGCTTGATGTGCTAATCAGTGTGTAAGTCGCATTTTGTAACAGTGGATTGTTTTGGTTAAGTTTATTTGCAAAATTTGCTGTGATTCTCTTGCTCTTGGGTGGATGCTTTCACATTAACTCTGCTAACTGCCAGCAATCTGCATGATATCTCATCTTGTATGTCTTTTTTTTCTGTGTTTTCTTTCCTTTCCCCTACTTGCTACTTTGCCCGTTATTAATAGGATCAGCCTATATGCACAACGAGTCGTGCCTCTGCCATGATGTCCGCTCCTATCTTCATTTTTCTGCAAGTTTTCATGTGGTGTGGATGGTCAGTTACTTTCTCTAATTTTTTGTTTTGTTCTTGGCTTAAAAAATTAGCAGACATTTTTACTTACTGAACATAAAAAAGAAAACAGACTGAACCGAGTCCCAAAAGCAACAATCTGGAGCAAATTACTATTGCAATATTAAGGGAAATTAAATATGAAAAAACCCTGTCTGGAGCCCTATAAATCACAATTAGAGAACACAAGGGCCTCTCCCATAGCAAATACAAAGACACGGGAACCTGTTGGGTTTATAGGGTTGGCTCTTCAAGGTTGCACATGTACCAGCTGAGTCAGTGTCATTTTCTTCAAAAGGTTTTTCCCTTGTTCCTGTTAAAATGAAACAGAAGAAGGAAATTTTGTACAAAGACAAAGGTATAAAGTAGTTAGAAGAGACCACAAAACCTGTCAAAATAAAGCTGGACTTAGGGATAGCAAGGATGAGTGTGCTGTATTAAGTGTAATTGTTGTTACTGAGAAAGGAGTTTTCACTGCATTCAAATTAATGCAAATGTTAATGATAGTTGGTAATAGTGTGCATCAGCTTGCTTAAACTATGAATTCAGTAAAATCAAAGTTTACTTTTTAATTTTGTGTAACCTAAACATATTTTTTGCCTAATTACAGCAGAAGTTGGGTTTTTTCTTCTAATGAAATACACAGACACATTAAGTCCTGCATATTGACCTAGTGCAGACTCTGGGGTGTACAACAAAAGCCTTGGGTTTTTAGACTGTGTTGCATTTAATGGTGTGAGAATGTGCACTGCTATGCTAGTGACATGTATGCAAGAAAAATTCTGATCTAAATAGAATAAAAGTCATAACTTTGAAATCTTGAGAGGTTTCTGATCAATATTATTACTCAGAAAACCACTAGAGGGAGATACTAACATATCTAGCTAAGTAAAGCCATCTTAGAGGCAGAAATGGAAACATTATTTTTCAGAATTAGTGCAGCAAAATATTGAAAATTGTAACAATTTAGAACACTCATTTTCTTAATAATTTATATTCTGTTTATACTTAAGTGAAAGGTTAATCAATATAACTTGAACATCAGTAAAAAAGAAATAAAAAATTAAAGTTCTGTTTAAGAGTTGTATTTGAGCAATTTTGAAGTTTTCTAGTCTATATTTAAATGATCTGGTTTCTAGCAAACCTAGGAACTTGCACAGCCATGGCTGAAGGTTGTAAGGGAGGGCAAATGTCCCTTACCCAAAGCCAGTGGTATTTCATATTAAAATCTAGAAGATTAACATCATGCAATTTGCTCTGCAAATAACCTTATTTTAATTAAAAAGGTAGTGTCCAGTGTACATGAAATAACAGAGACTCACCTTGGGCTGAGTTTTTTATGCCCAAAATGTCTTTCTGCTCAAGAAGATAAACCAAAATACTGGGTAACCCATGAAATCTAATTTCAGCTGATTGACTTTTGGCAGCAGAATGTTATAAAGGTATTTTTGTTCAACCGTCCTGATTTTAATAACTCTGTGATTTTGAAAATGTGTTCTCACTGGACATTAATCTGTGTAGTTTTATTAAAAATCACTGAAGCCAGCACAGATACAAACCAGCTGATCAGGTTCAACAGTGGCAGCTGCTTTTTTTTTTTTTTTCATCAAGGATAACAAAATAGTCTCTATAACCCCTTTGAGTAGCTTGCTCTTATTTTGTACAGGCACACTGGTTTTGTTTGCCATGTCTGAGACTAAAGAGAACTTGACAAGTTTTTAGCCCCTTCTGGGAATGTCTTCTTTCCACCAGCTCCCAGGGGTTAGCAGCCCAGATAACTGTATACGTCTGGGTGGGATTGGCTGCATCTTTGTACAGCTTTGTGTGGTTATCCAGACAAAGGAGGATAAAACAAAATTTTTGGAAGACCATACATTGGAACTTGAAATAACTCTTGAGTTAAAGAAGAGTTATTCTCTGTGCAATATGAAGCATTTGAAATACATGCTTATGAGAGATATAACTTTGAGGTAACCAGTTGATATCAACGGCCAGGTCAGAAGCTCTTTGGCCAAAATTATTGTTTTATCCTTCTTGTAGTCAGTGTAAATCATCAATGTATAGTCATGGTTAGCACAATAGGTTCTAATAAATTATTAAAGTTTCAACACAAAGTTTTAGTGCATTAAATGTGTTATTATCATGTACTTCTAAAGGAGTGACAAGTATGTTTATAGACTTAAATGTCTTATATATATATTTCCATGTTTATCTTTAAAATTTTGAACTGCCACTTCCTTCAAGGAAATGTTGATAGATAGCAATGAATATGTGGGTTTGATACTTAACAATGAATATATGGTTTTATAATAGCGTTAATTTTCATTCTGTGAGTGCTGAATATTTTACACTCTGTGATGTTCTAAAATAACCCTCTCTAGAGTTATCACAGTAAGGTATGGCATGAATTAATTACTAATTAATTAATACAAAAAAATTCTGATACACTTCTGATGAAATGAAATTGGCTAAAAAGTATTCTTTCTAATTTTTTTTCCAATACTTTCTCTCCTCAAAGAGAAATTATACAGAATATTATTTGAAAGAAAACAAAGAGAGGACGTCCCCAACTATTCTGTTGTTTTTTCATGTTTTCTGAGTGACTAATGTAGGAGTGACTAATGTAATGGGCTGGTATATTTCAATGAAACTGTTTTAATATAGTTCAGTGTCTACTTGCATGGATAGAGGTAAAGATAAGATAAAATGATGCTATCCACTTTGTTATAAGAACTCTCAAAAATAACTTTTACAGGAA